CCATACACTTGTGTGACAAGCTAAAGACGCAGGCCACAAATTGGACGAGAAACTCGAGCAAACACATCGAAAAAATGTTTGGTTATAATATATGTATGTATATATTTTTTTTACTTACTAAACATCGTTGCTACTTTTTTCTTTTAATAAAACGCAATGCTTTTTTAGTTTTCAGTTTTTTATTTTATTTATTTAGTTTTTTCTTAGTTTTTTGTTTTAATTTGGTGTTTGTCTTAAGTGTAATTATTGCAAAAGTTTGCGCTCAGCTCGCGAAATACATATTTATATAATATATATATTGGAAAACATATAAATACATACATACATATGTACGTGCCATGCAGACTGTATACGCACATGCGTACATATACATACATATATGTATACATATGTAAATATGTATTTAAATTTTTGTTTCATTAATATACTATGTACGAATAATTTCTCACTTTGATTTCACTCTTCTTTTTTTTAAGGTTTTACTTTAGGCGATTCCTGGAATTTTACATCTCTAAGTAAAGGCATGGTGAGCGAAAATTCTATATTATTTTTTGCTTCTTTTTTAAGGTTTCGTGTTGTGTTTCTTTAATTTTTACATTCTCATACCATATACATACGTACATATATATTTGACTTTTATATGCCGTTACAAAAAATACGAAGATTGCTTTTGAGTAGTTTTTTTTTTGTTATTTTAAAATAAGATAATTATAACAAAAGCAATGCATGCCAATACATATTTTGCATATTTAGATACTCTCAAATTGCTAATTTTTTAAATCTTCCTGGTGCCAAAACGCAAATACATATTTATGTATACACATGTACTCGTATATTTCAATAGAATATACATACAAAAATTCGCAAAAATTTTATTCTTTGTTGCTATAAAGGCCATTTCCAATTGTTCTGTTTAATTAAATTTGTCTGTGCGTGCACATACGGTCTTTCTGCCAATTTGTTTTGTTACTTTACAGAGTTCGGTTAATATTACAGTGAATTTGATTAAGCTAAATCAATGCATAAATTTTATAAATTGCATTTAACACACATACGTAATATTTTTTAAAATACTTTTTATAAAGTTTTTATTTCTTTTATTTTTTATTTATTAAAAATATCACAACGCCTTCTTAATGTCGTTAAACACAATTCCTTTAGTTTAACTTTATAGAAAAAAAACAAACAAACAAAAACAAAGAGTGCAGCTGAAATTTGTTAAGCGGGAATCAAAGAACAAAAAAGCGCAGATTATTCTACGCTTTGCAATACAAAATTTTATGATTTTCCATTGCGCGCAGAAATGAACTGAAATGATAAAATGCCCGAAAATACTCCAAAACAAGTGCTAAGATTTCTAAAAGTTGTACAGCAAAAATTATGAAATAATTGGCATTTTTTTTTAATAACCATCTAAAATAAAAAAAAAATAGTTATAAAATAAGTTTTAAGTAATAATACAATACATAATGATGCATAGACTAATGTTTTGCTACTTCCTCTCCGATTTCGCTCTCGTTCCTTCTTCGTTCCACATTTCTCCAGATTTTCATAAACTGTGTTCGCTTCTTTTTAACTAAGTTAAAAAATGGTTTTTTTTTTATAAAAATATTTTCGTTTTTTGTGAACAAAGTATAAAAGAAAACTTAACATTTTACATACAAGCAGTTTTAATGCCTTGCCTATAACTTCTTATAACTATTCGTCTACGCACAAAGGGTTTTACAAAAACTTTAGATTTTTTAAATTAAGAAAAAATCGCTTTTAAAACATTCGCATCGTGAAATCTGCTTTGAAACATACATATGTACATATGTATGTACGTCTGTCTGTATATGCCTACATATCGTTTATTACATATTTGCAACTGCTTCCCATTTTTATTGCGTCTTAGGTTGCGTATACGCATCGTCCGTCGCGCATTCAATACATTTTAAAGCATACTTCTTTGTGTTCTTGTTCTTGGACTGCTGGCTGTTCCGCTTTATAAACGTGTAAGCTTCACTAACACAATACCACAATACTCTTGGAAAAAATGTCATTATTCGACTGGCGCATTTCCCTTTCTCCTGCCCTTCTACCACGCCACGGCCCTTCACAACAACGCTTCAGCCGCCACCGACGACGCCAGCCTACGCCCATTTTCCTTCCTTTCTGTGCTCCTTATTGTTATAAGCTCACCAATTTCGATGGCTCACTTGTAGGTGTCTGCATTTCCAATGGATGTTTGTTTTGCGACGAGCAAGTCGGCACCAGTGGTCCCGAAACGGGTGTCAGGCCGGTGCCACCATCCATTAGCGAGTCGAAGTTGAACATGCCTGTTGATGGTGTTTGTATGGCGACACCATTGATGTCCGTTGGCGGACGCTCTGTATTTAAAGCGAGATTTTGTGCCTGATTGCGTAGGTTTGTGGGCAACGAGTTGGGACGCTGCTTGCTGCTACACAATAGTGGCCTATTCGGGGCAGCTAATGTGCCTGTTATAGCAATGCTGGTCGCAATGATGTTGTTGTTATTATTGTTGGCCATACTATTGCCTGCAACGAAACTGGCGAAACTCACTGGTGCCGACGTCACAATGGGTGTATTTAAGGATGCCGAGGCCGCAGCCAATGAAGCCGATAGTGTGGCTACATTCGGTAAAGGTGGCTGTACCATCGGATTATTGTCGGAGAGTAGCATGCGCTTGGGCGATGGTGGGCCGTCATGATCCAGGGACGAGTTTGAGTCGAGCGCACTATCCAAAGGTTCGTGCTTGATGTGCGGCACAATGTCTAAAATGATGGGCTTGAGATCGATGGGCGAACCACTGCGTCCCACAGACGATAGCGTCGTATCAACTCCAATGATATTGCTGTTACTGTCGTTGCTGTTACTATTCGCTGGCGCAATTAGGCCATCGTAGGTATGTACGCTCAATAGATCTTGTCGTATCTTCTGGCACGTCGGTCGATGCGCTTCCAAAATGAAGGCCAAACGGTTCTTGGTTACTTTAAGGCTCTCGACCTCCTTCTGCAGCGTTTCGCGAATACCCTCCAGACGGTCAACTTCTGTTTGCAATTCGTTTGTTTGGTCGACGCGACGTTTGCGACAACGTGCCGCAGCTAATTTGTTACGTTCACGACGTATGCGGCGCTTCTCCTCCTCTTCGGGTGACATATTGGTCGATTTGGCAGGTCGACGGCCGCCTTGGTTGCGACGTGTCGGTGCAGGCGTAACTGTGGCACTATTTGAGGTATGGACGTTGCTGCTGTTGGGCGAAGTTGTCAGCAACAGATTGCCGGCATGCTTGCCAGCTTCTGCTGCGATGGCGTTGTGCAAAAGAGTGAAATCATTTTTGGACGATGTATTTGAGGTAGCGAGTGAAGCGTTGCTAATACCGTTTAGGCCGTTTGGAAATGAGGTGCTGTCAGTGGCGGCGCTTGCTACAGAAAATAAGAGAGAGAAATTCAAGTTAGTTGGGAAATGTATGTAAAGATTATAGGGGCTTTCATGTGCTTACAAGTATCTGTTGTCGCCATTGAGTTTTCCTCATTCAACTGTGAATTGGTCCAGGACGCCTGTGAGTCGTCCGTATCCACATCGTTGTAGCTTTGCATGGCGCCGGTGAATACCGGACTTGTGGAATTCTGTATTGAACTGACGGGCGGCGGTATGAAACCGGCCTGACAGGGCGGGTTCGAATGATCGGTTGTCAGCTGTATGAATGTCTCCTCGATGCTGCGTAGGGTGGTGGGCGTCAACGTGGACGTGGTCAACGTGGGAACACCACTCTGTATGCCATCCATTGAAACGAGCTGCAATGAGAAAAGTAAAATTATTAGTGATTTGCATAAATAATGGATACAATTTATTACTAAATTAAAGATTATGCACAAAGCTCCTATACAAGTTTTTTACCGTAAAAAATATATATATTTCAAGGCACTACCCAACAGTGTTTCCTTGTAGCGTTGATGAAAAGGCTTAAGAGTTTTATAGGAAAGCTAAAATCTCTGGAATATTTCGGGAAAAACACAATTATAAACGCACATATTTTTATAGAATTATCGGCAATTTCGCCTTCCACAGAGAACTATAAACCCGTTGCATACAATTTAACATATTGGCTGTTTATGAGTTCCTATAGTTTTATGTGAAACAACAACAACTACAACTGGAAAAATATCTTTTAAAACCTGTATTTATGTACATACATACAT